TTTAAAGGAAATTGGTAGCTGGACATAGGATTCAGGAATACTTTACTGCATAAGTTGCCCAAATATTAAAGCCCCAAACCACAATCTGGTAGAGTGAACTTGATATACTGTATGTATCAGGCATCAGTTATATTAGGTGCTTCTAGTATACATTCCTAGTTCTCAGAGTGTGATAATTGAATTTATAGCACTTGTGCTTCCAATTTTGATAAAAGATGAGTAACTCACTTTATAAACAGGAAGAAAGCAATCAACACATCTGCATTTCATATACACTCAACAGTCTGAAACTCCTCTGAAACTTGTTTCAATATCAGGGATCTTGAGTGGAACATCTTGAGATACAATTTGCCAAATTTTTTCACTAGGGACAACTTTCTCCAGTTGGATGCCCCACATATCATCTCTCGTCAAGAAGGGACAGCAGGGTACTTGATGCTGCATAGGTAATATTTCTGAAAGAGTTAAAGCTCAACCCAATTTGATGATGAAGGGGAATTGGAAAGACAGAATATTTTAGGATGTTGTAGAGTGAAGACCCATAATCTTAGGAACAATATCTAACTTACTACTTGTACCTGACTGCTATCATGTACTAAACTAATTATGTTTAAGATTCACATTAAGACTCCCTAGTGGTTTCCTGCTGCAACTGCAGACCAAGTAAGCCTTAAGTCTCAGTAAAGGAAAGAGGATGTTGGAAACAAATAATCCTAACCACAAGCTGGTTGTGATTGGCATCATTTAGGAGATCAGCTTGGATATGCTAATGGATGCTGAAATGCTTCATTTAATTTCATCTAAAATTAACACCCCTATAAATATTTAGATCTATGCTTCAGTTCTAAAATCAAGATCATTTGGTTCTTTTTTCCTCTAGGTTTATAAATGTTATACATTTCTCCACATAAATTGATGTAGCATCCTACTTTAATTATCTCAAATGCAATTTATTTCTCTTGGAAATATGTTTGCGTTATATATGTTCCATCTTCATAAGTATGATGCAAGCATTTTGGTAACATGCTTAAGCATTAAAGTAAAAAAGACTGCTATTTACAAAGAAAACAACTTGAGGAAGACAACTGCTACAGAAATTTGTTTCATGGTGAAATGTAGGAGTAATACCATAAAGGAAACAAAGTGTCAGAACATCCACCCATTGCTCCCTGAGCCTTTTGAAGGCCACATCTCTCTTCGGCATATGGTTGTCAGCTTAAAGTCCAAAATACTAATTTATACATTTGTAACCTTTTAAAAAAAAATTATATGGGGCTGGGGCATTGCTGGCAAGGTCAGCACTTGTTGGTCATCCTAATTAGCCTTAATCTGATTTGCTCTCTCAGCCATTTCAGAGGGCAATTAAGAATAAACCACATTTCTGCTTGTCCGGTGTCACAAGTAAGACAGGTCAGGTAAGAATGGCAGATTGCCTTTCCTTTCCTAAACAGCGTTATTGAACCAGATTGATTCTTACACCAATTGACAATTCTTACATGGCCACCATAATCAATTCCAGATTTTATTTCAAATTTCACTATCTGACATGATGGGAATTGAACCCATGTCTCCACGATCCTAGGATTCTGGATTTCTAATCCAGTTACAATACCATTATACAGCTGCCTCCTAATGCAGCTGAATTTTTGTCATAATCTTCCTGGCCATCTTCCATCCCTGTAAACTATTTAATCTAAAATGCCATAATGCACCCAACTAAGTATAACTTGCATGACCGTCACTCTTGCACTTAATAATGTCAGTGGTTTCTGCTGTTCTAGATGATAAAGTGTCAAGATTTATAATTCAGTATTAAGCTGTCACCACTCCCCCTCTTCTCCACCATGCAATTAAATACATAATTTCATGATTCAAATGTTTTAGGGATATAATTTTTAATTTGGGATTTTGTTTTTGAAACGTAAGATAAATGAAAGAACGTAATTTAAGAAATTTGGTAAATATACCAAAGATAATTACAATTCAAAAAATGGTTCACACTGCGAAAACAATAAATAACATGTGGCTTTCTCTTAGCTTCTCAATGTAGCCAATAATCCTGGTAAGATTGCAGTCATTTCTATTAGAGGTTTACATTATTTATCCAATTGTCCAGATAAAAGAAAGTATGAAAACAATCAGTAATCAAGGGGGGCTCTTAAAGTTGAATCAGAGATAGTAGGAACTGCAGATGCTGGAGAATCTGAGACAACAAGTTGCAGAGCTGGATGAACACAGCAGGCCAAGCAGCATTATAGGAGCAGAATGGAAGGTCTGAAGAGTTGGAGCTAAATCATTTAAATTTCTACCTGGAACATCCCAGTAATGACACATTGCTATCAAAATAAGTTATGCAGGGAGATACCCTTTTCCTTTCAGTTCATCTGTGTGATTTTGCACAGGAAAGACAGTTCAAGTCAGCCTGGGGGCAGCTTTGAGACAAGCAAATGCAGAGCTGGAGTGAGGGGAGCCAGAGGCTATCAACAATTGTGAGGTGTTTTAGGAGACTTGGAGGGTTATCACATCTAATGCTTGTGGAAGGTTCCCAAGAAATCTCAAATCACGTAGAATCGTAGCAGCATTGAAGTGAATCAAAGTGAATTTTTGAAAGCTGTGAAACACCATTGTTCGGTTCCAGGAGAAGTGAATGAACCTTTAGATTGCATAAAGTTTAGGGAATTCTTAGGTGCAATTAACAGCAGAAGAGGTAATGTTCTGTTGACACTTAGGGCTTGAAGAATAAGTGTTTATGAAATATAATGCAAAGTTGGCAGTATTTGCATTATTTCATTCTTCACAGTAAAGATTTTTGTTTTAAAATATGAAATCCTGCAGCATAATTCTTACAGTTAATAACTGATAGTTGAAATTTCCTTTGCAAAGTTACTGGACTCCATTGAATTCAACAGAGCATTGGCAAGACAAAAGAATTACACTTATTGATAGTTTAATCAGATTTTCTTCAGTTGGAAAATTAAATATGTAGTGAGTCAGAGTTGATTGTGTGTACAAACACAATTTCTACATTAAAAAGGACAGATTCAGGAGAAGTTTTAAAGGACTTAGATGAAATGTCCTTTTATGAAGTTTTATGAAATAATCAGTTGGAAAAGTGCAGTATGGTGTAATGCTGGCATTATGTTAATCATCTGAGTTCTAATGAAGGGTCACTGGACCTGAAATGTTAATTGTGCTTTCTCTCCACAGATGCAGAGTTTTTCCAGTAATTTCTGTTTTTGTTTCCAATTTCCAGAATCCATAGTTCTTTGGCTTTTTTTAGGCTAATCTTCTCTCTTTACTATATACTCCATGCTGTAGACAGCTAATATATTTAATAAGAGGCACAAACTTTATCAATCTTATTCAGATGTTAATCAATCACTGTAAAAATAAGGTTATTTTCACGTTTGAGAAATGGACATTGATTTGTAATGAAAGTTGTGCACTAAGAATTGAAACTCTGTTTGAAACTGGCTGAGAACCAATACCATAATTGCTCAAGAATGAAACTAATCTTAATTTAAAATGTATTTAATTCAGCAGTAAATATGATGCAGCTCAATTCAAAATTGATTTTTCATATCCAATAAAAGGAATTGCTCTTAGTAAAGTATCAATTTGTTGATTGAAAGGAGATGCTACTCTTAATTGCTTTAATTTTCCTTCTTTTATTGTTCATTGGATCCTTTAGTTAGCAAGAACTCTGCTTTAATGAAGTTGGAAGGTGTAGCTACTGTTCTCAAGAGGTTTAAAACAGTAAGAGGAATCCAATTTAAACTGCAACTGATTCTGTCAATGCTCCAACTTCTGCAGTTAAACCAATTATTCAAATGTTTAAAAGAATCATATTATTTGAGATTTGAAGCATCAGTGCAGATCCATCGATCCCAATAGGTAAGCACATAATTTGAGTCCAACTTATGCAAACAGCAAGATCAAAGATTAAATGTGCTGTACTGTGCTGTGTCTTACTGAACTACAGACATAGAGAAATCTTAGATTAAATGTGCTGCATGGTGTCATACTAAAACATAATGCCAGCAAGTTTCTGGATTAAATGTGCTGTGTGGTGAGATACTGAGCCATAATATTCTTGAGTAGATTTGTAGCTTGAGTTGTGGATGCTGTGGTTGGTTTGCTCACCGAGCTGGTTCATTAGTTGACAGATGTTTCATTACCCTGCTGGGTAACATATCAGTGCAGTCTTCGATGAAGCGCTGTTGTATTTTCCCGCTTGCTATTTAAACTCTGGGGTCCGTTGGAGTTGATTACCTCATTTCCGGTTTTTCTTTGTAGTGCCGTGTATATAGAATCTAATTCTATGTGCTTACTGATGGCCTTCTTGGTGGAGAACCAGGCCTGTAGGAATTCCCATGTTTGTCTCTGTTTGGCTTGTCCGAGGATCCTGACGTTGTCCCAATCAAACTGGTGGTCCTCCTTTGTCTGTATGTATGGAGACGAGCTAATATTGGTTGAGTCTTTTTGTTGCTAGTTGGTGTTCATGTATTCTTGTAGCCAGTTTTCTTCCTGTCTGTACAATGTAATGTTTGTTGCAGTCCTTGCATGGAATCTTATATATTACATTGGTTCTGCTCATAGTGGGTAAGGGGTCTTTGGTTCTTATTAACAGGTGGCATAGATTTGATGTAGGTTTGTGTGCCACTCTGATGCCCAGTGGCCGTAGGAGTTTTGTGCTTAGTTCAGAAATATTTTGATGTATGGTAACGTGACAAGTATGTCGGGGCGTACTGTATCTTCCTGTTGTTGTTTGTGTGACAGGCATCAACAAACCCATATGTTAGGGTATCCATTGTCTTTAAATACTTGGTGGAGGTATTCTTCTTCATTTTGGCATAGTTTTAGGTTGCTGCAGTGTGTTGTGGCTTGTTTGAATAGTGTTTTCATGCAACTCCATTTGTGGGTGTTTACTGTTAAAGTTTAGAACTTGATCCATATGTGTGGCCTTTCTGCGTATTTTCCCCCTTGGCCCTGTGTTCTACCATCATGTCCAGGAATGGGAGCTGTTTGTTCTTTTCTTCTTCTCTGGTACCAGAAATGAAACATCTGTAAACTAATGAACCAGCTCGGTGAGCGAACCAACCACAGCATACTGAGCCATAGACACAAAGTCTGAGAGTCATTAAAATGGATTATCAAATTTTGACTTTAATCATCAGGTTAAATCTACTGTGGACTTGAATTACAGAGGTGGGGAATTCAAAGTCAAACCTTTGAAACATCTGACCTAAATTGAAACAGCAGTCAGTGTTATAGGTTGCACCAAGTTTCCAGAGGGGGGCAGATAGAGAAAGGCTCCTACCCCTTGGCTCCATCAGCAATTTTAGTGGCAAGTAAGAATGTGCAAATGTCACAGAAAAGGTCTGAAAGATAGTGGCTTGAATAAGGCATCTTATAACAGATAGCATCTTGCGGAACCCTATTCCAACTCAGACCAATGAATTCAGAGGGATAGATCAGTTTGGTGAGGAAGGCAAGGGAAGCACTAAGTTAAACTTATCAAGGAATTCAATGTCTGAACCTTTAAAGCTTTTTATGTATCTCATGCGGAGCTACTTTATATTTTGAAGACTTAAAAATGTCACGTCATAATTCAATAACAAACTAAAACAGAACAAAAACAGAAGTTGCCGGAAAAGCTCAGCAGGTCTGGAGGGGTCACCGGACCCAGAACGTTAACTCTAAATTGTCTTCACAGATGCTGCCAGACCTGCTGAGTTTTTCCAGCAACTTCTGTTTTTGTTCCTGATTTACAGCATCCACAGTTCTTTTGGTTTTTATAAACAAAAACAGAAATTGCTGGAAAAACTCAGCTGGCCTAGCAGCATCTGTAGAGAGAGAGCAGAGTTAACATTTTGAGTCCAGTGACCCTTCTTCAGAGTGTAGAGGCCATGGATGTGGTCCAGGATGCACTCCGTTGTCTGCCATATTTGATCCTCCATTTGGTTGTCCACTCTTCAGGTAGTCATCAGTGCAAAGTTCTGAGACATCATGACACTCATGCAAAAGATGGACTCTTCTGTTTTCTCTACGAGGGTGCACAGTGCTTCTGGAAAGGCTGACAGAAACACATGCTTCCCATTACTGTTGACAAGTACAAATTTTGTGAGTAATTCCCAAGCTTTAGCATTTGTACAAAGCTGGTAGACCTTAGAATGTCCTGCACCTTTCGATAGGAACTTTCCACTGCGTTCTCTGTCTTTAGCACCTGCTGTATATATGTAACATGCTTCTCACCATTTGCCATCCTATTTTTCTGTGATGCTGTACTTGACAAACTATGTGTCTCTGCATTGTGTAACTGTGCTCAGGACTAATGTGATGGTATATTCTAATAAAGAACTGAGAACTCCTCAGGTTATTCCCTAATCTCAATTAGTAACCAGGTCTCTGTCCAGTCCAACACCCACCATCAGGGCCAGGACTGATCTTTCTCTTACATTATGGTTAGGGTGGCCTTGTCAGTAGGTCCACCCTGGTGCTGTGGACTTTCTTCTTCTGCAAGGAGAAAAGGCAAAGTGTTATATGTGCAGGTGGAAAGCTATTGGTGATAGAGCTATGAGGAACATGCACAAGAAGACTGTGGCATGTCAGAGAGTTTGAGTGCTGTCTGTTTAGACCAAAATTTGAGGAGTGGACTGAAGAGAAAGATATCTGTGTAACAGCAAGATGTACTGACAAGAGGAATGTTGTGCAGGAGGCCATTTGGGAAGTGATGGAACGATGCCTGCAAGCTGCAAATTAGAGGCAAACATCTTGTTAGACCTCAGGATGACATTAAATTCCAAAACCTGCCACTAGATTCAGGGTCTGGATAACATACTCCTGTAGCTACAGCTCCGCTATTAACAGCTACAGCTGTTTGATAAGGCAGGCTGGCCTCCTGCTACTTGAGGAAGAAGATTTCTGTCTCACTGAATTCAACACAACCTTCAACAATGAGACGAAGAGCAGAAGTGTGGCTTTCCCATATTTTACACCTGTCTGCAGCAGTTTCTTGCTTGCCACTGGTTTCTTGAATACCACACAATCTCTTAAAACTGTCACTCTTAAAATTGTGCGTCCTTCCAGCATCTCTCTCTTGTTTAGGCATTCCATCCTGCTCACTCACCCTGATTGGATGTGGAACCTAGAGATGAGAGATTTTGCTATGGCTGTGTTTTGGTGAATCAGCTTTCCAGTCACCCAACTGGTGCTTCTATTCTGGCACAGGATAAATACAGAAGAATGTATCCCGAGAATCTGGTAGACTAACAGTTTAAATATAATTTTGTAAAATATCTGAGAGGCGAGGGAAAATCTTAACTTATACAAAAAATAAAATGTTTTAACAAGGCCAGGCCAAACTAATATTTAGTTTATGCGTTATTAAACACACAATTTGTAAGAGATGTTTCCAAATTTGTTATTAAACAACTTATGTAATGTAATGTAAAAGAATCTTCCCATTATATTTTATTGACTATGTCTTATGAGCAATGTGATTTAATCTTCAAATAATTTATACTTCAGGAGCTTAAAAATAATGCATAATTCCACAATCTGCCATTATTTACATTATTGCATAGTTTAGTTATAGGATATAATCTGACATTTGAGGTGAACATTGATAATCATTCACATGTTTTATTTTTGCATACTTTATGGTCCCATTTGAGGCTTCTTTTAAGTTGTAGGCGTTCTAGGGAGTGTGTCAGCTTTTGTGATACAGTCTGGCTTTTGGGAATTTTCCAGGTTAACAACTGTGTCCATCATATATCTACAGAGAATAAAAGAAGGGCATATAACTCCAGCAGAAACTAGAAATAAGACATGAATGAGAATGTACAAAATAAATCTGGAATACCAGCAGGGAACAATGACAAAGGTCAGTTGAAAAATCAGGCCTAATGACCCAGAAACTATACAGGAAAGAAAAATCAATAACAAGTAAACACAGAAGAAAATTGTAGAGTAGCATAACATTTTTTAAAAACTGGTTTGAAAGTAAGACCCTTTTGATCATGTATAAACCTTGAGGTTAGAAGCTGTCCAATTTTATGGCAATAAATAAGAAAATTCAGGAAAAGGTGGTGCTACCTGAGGAACTAAAATATGAGCACTAAGTTCCTGAAGGCAAAAAGGTAGTTGTTGAAAAGATTCCAAATACAGAAAAGGAAACTCTGCATGGTTTTCTATTGAAACTGTTTAATTTCTATGTGATTGTATCAGAAATATTAGTATTATTTCCTCAGGCAACTGAAAAGCCAAGATGACAGCAGAAAACACTTGATTCAGTCTTTTAGTGATTCCTTTTGTGTTCCCTTCTTCTGCTTTCTTTTTGATTAGGAGGATTTTGTGGATAATCAGGTCCCAAGGTCAGGAATAGAAGTGGGTGCAGATTTCATTTAGACATTAAATGACTAGTAATATGTGAGTTTACTAGCCAATTTGTGATGAATAGACATGAGGGCCATCCATTCTCTGTGTAGAGGCAGGAAGCAAGACAGTAGAAGCAGCATGTGGTCAATACTGAGGACCATTTGCTTGTTTTTGATTAAGGATAATCAAGGATTATTTTACCTTAGAAAATCCAGAAATTAAATGTATTAGGGCCATTTGGAGAACCTGATTGAGGTCAGAAGTAAATATAGTTGCCCTCCTAAAAAAGAATAAAAAACAATTTTGAGAAAGCACAGCTACCTCAGTAGAAAAGTTTAGTATCTACATCATCCCGACAAGGAATGTTTGGCGAGGAGTTTTCAGGATATTCAAAAGCTGAGAAATTCCAAACTTTTAGTTTTGTGAGTATTCTTGTAGCAAGGTTTCAGTTCACAGGACAGAACTGTGGAAAATCAGTTGTGTTGAATTTAAAGAATTGAGATGGAGAGGTAACTTCTCTGGATTTGAATTGCTAAAATCTGATGGTTTTGGGGAATAAATTAGACTTTGTGTTGCTGGATTTTTTTTCCTAACAGTGTCCTGCATTTGAATAACTTGTTTTTTTTTCTCATATATGTGTGATAAATATCTGTTCGGCTGTTATAGAAAAAAAAGTCTGTAGCCTTGTGAAACTACATTTCAGTCAACGACCACATCACCGCATTACCGAAAAGAATCATGATCCATCATGATTTGTTCAGCAGTACCATCAGCTGGGAACATAACATTGTTGTACTTGTCACCATAGGAAAACTAAGAGTGTTCATTTTTGTGTTTGCAGGAGACAACATGAAGGAAAGGGTCAAAATTACTGGAGGCTTTCTGTTGGCGTACATCCTGGGCACCACAATGGATGAAACATTTGAACTGGAATAGCAGCAGGGTGGCTACTTTATGGTTAATGGTGAAGCAGGAATGAATGCAAAACCATGAAGATGTATCTGGTATACATCTGGCATAGTATTCATATGTCCATCATAGAACACATGGAGTCCACAATAGGGATAATACTGTGTGGAGCTGGATGAACACAGCAGGTCAAGCATCATCAGAGGAGCAGGAAAGTTGATATTTCAGGGTTACACCCTTCATCAGTCCTGAAACGGCGACTTTCCTGCTCCTCTGGTGCTGCCTGACCTGCTGTGCTCCTCCAGTTCCACATTTTATCGACTCTGATTCCAGCATCCGCAGTTCTTGTTATCTCACAGTAGGGATAGTTGGAATGCTGCAATGGGAAGCCCACAACTCTTCAACCTATCTGTTCATTCTAAAAGTTAAGGATGATGCTGAAGATCAGATAGCTGGAGAGATATCAAGACAGCCCACCACCTCCAGAGAAGAGGAGGGTATCTCAGAGGGTGCACTGTAGCATCGTTTGTCTACACGCTTCACTGGCACAGATACTCTCACATCCTTTAGTGCACCATTGAGGACAGCACAGGCACACCAATCAACTGACAAAGGCTGTAGCATCCAAGGTCAATGACAGTTGGAAGAAATGCTGAACTGCAGATTGATCATGTACCACTACAGTCATTGACAACATGGCTGCAATGAGAACTAAGGAGAATATCAGGTGGAGCTTCCAGTGGCTGTGTGCACCAAAGCAAAGATGATGGAAGAGTCTAGCTCAGCCATTAATGCTGCCATATCCCTGAGGTGTGTACATGTTTTCCCATATAGAGAAATTCAAGACGTAGTGGAGAGAATGATTCAGCAGACCACTTATGCCAGAGATGTGTGTATGTCATCACCTCCTCTCTGAGTTCTATGCAGCAGTAGCAAAGCAAGAGGACGTGAGATGCCTGGAGTAACTGTCAAGTCCTTTTGCATCTCAGGATAGTAGGGAGACATAGTTGTGATTTACAAGGAAGTCGGCTTCTCTCTGGGCACTGCCAGGGAATGGGCAGCATTGCCTCAGCCCCTCTGCCAGTGACTCCAGTGCATCAAGAAGCTGTGGTAACAGAGGAGATGTCTGTACCTGTTTACAGGCCCCACAGCATTTTGGTGCACTCTAGGTCTTAGGCAGCCAGTATATGGCCATCAAGATCATCTCAAGTATGATGTAGCAAACCAAGATCCTTCCTGTTTGCAAGGCCAAGAAAACCACTATATAGGAGCAAAACCAAGCATTGATTGAAGTAAAAATATGTAAGAGAGAGAGAAGGGTTCAACAATAGTCTAAACAGAAAGATAACTTATTGGGCAAATGCTTCCTTGCAAGTTTCTTGCCATGTCTTATGAATGAAATTAGAACACCAGATACTGGAATAGCATTTGTCTTGGAAGGCGCTGTGCTTTGTAGAATGTTATAGGTGATATTTTTGTATCCAATGGAAAACCAGTAAATCAGAAGGCAACTTTAGGAAAGATGATGAATAAAATGTCTAAGCAATAACAGAAAAATAACTATTGAATTTTCTTAGACAACAAGGTGCAGGGCTGGATGAACACAGCAGGCCAAGCAGCATCATAGGAGCAGAAAGGCTGACGTTTTGGGCCTGGACCCTTCATCAGAAAAGGGGGAGGGGAAGGGGGTTCTGAAATAAATAGGGAGAGAGTGGGAGGCGGATAGAAGATGGATAGAGGAGAGGATAGGTGGAGAGGAAACAAACAGGTCGAAGAGGCGGGGATGGAGCCAGTAAAGGTGAGTGTAGATGGGGAGTTAGGGAGGGGATAGGTCAGTCCAGGGGGGACGGACAGGTCAAGGGGGTGGGATGAGGTTAGTCGGTAGGAGATGGGGGTGCGGCTTGAGGTGGGAGGAGGGGATAGGTGGGAGGAAGAACAGGTTAGGGAGGCGGGGATGAGCTGGACTGGTTTTGGGATGTGGTAGGGGGAGAGGTAATGTGGTATAATGTGGTATAATGTGGTATACTGCATCCGCTGTACCCGGTGTGGCTTCCTCTACATCGGGGAAACCAAGCGGAGACTCGGGGACCGCTTTGCAGAACACCTACGCTCGGTTCGCACTAAACAACTGCACCTCCCAGTCGCGAACCATTTCAACTCCCCCTCCCATTCCTCAGACGACATGTCCATCCTGGGCCTCCTGCAGTGCCACAATGATGCCACCCGAAGGTTGCAGGAACAGCAACTCATATTCCGCTTGGGAACCCTGCAGCCCAATGGTATCAATGTGGATTTCACAAGTTTCAAAATCTCCCCTCCCCCTACCGCATCCCAAAACCAGTCCAGCTCATCCCTGCCTCCCTAACCTGTTCTTCCTCCCACCTATCCCCTCCTCCCACCTCAAGCTGCACCTCCATCTCCTACCGACCAACCTCATCCCGCCCCCTTGACCTGTCCGTCCTCCCTGGACTGACCTATCCCCTTCCTAACTCCCTACCTACACTCACCTTTACTGGCGCCATCCCAGCCTCTTCGACCTGTTTGTTTCCTCTCCACCTATCCTCTCCTCTATCCCTCTTCTATCCGCCTCCCACTCTCTCCCTATTTATTTCAAAACCCCCTTCCCCTCCCCCTTTTCTGATGAAGGGTCCAGGCCCGAAACATCAGCCTTTCTGCTCCTATGATGCTGCTTGGCCTGCTGTGTTCATCCAGCCCTGCACCTTGTTGTCTCGGATTCTCCAGCATCTGCAGTTCCTACTATCTCTGATTGAATTTTCTTATGTCTTTTTTCTATTCTCCATTTCCTTGTAATCCATAATGCTAAATTTACTTATTGACAATTCCTTACTTAGCACAATATCACAATTTCAAACACAGTAACTGTTGTGTTGAATGACAAAATCCTATATAAATGTGCCATTGACATCAATCTAGCCATAGAGAGTAAGCAGATTAACAAGGTTGTAATAATCATTCAAACATCATTGTGAACCAATTGAGCAGCATTAAGATACTGGTTTCAATACCTCACTAACAACTGTAGTCCTGTACCCTTTGACACATTACCTCATAATAAGGAAAACCTGAATTTTTCTTAGAAGAATTCAATCACATTAGACCTAAATACTCATTGATCTGTTCAAATTAGAGCTACCCAAATAGTTGATTAGATTTTAGCTCCAGAGCAAAATGCTGAAAGTTATTGCTGAATTTACTAGAATTTTCAGAGTTACACTATAGTAGATTTCATCTTCACACATTGAGGAAATTAAACATCACCCCAGAGGTTAGATAGGGCATATATTAGAGTAAATCAATTTGAAAAAAAGAACACTTGGGAAAGGCTGCATTTTTTTTAACGTAAACTCAAGAAATTACATAAAATAACAGTGATACAAAGTACAAATAAGAAGTTCCACATTTAACTCACTGGTTGGCTTTTTGGCACATCATAGACACCCTCCTTCTGCTGACTTGTCGGCACCTGAGTGAACAATTAGAAAACAAATATTCTAATAAACAATCATATGCTATCACAACACTCTAGTAAAAATATACAATTGTTGATGATTTTAAAAGAAAGAGGTTTCGAAAATATTTAGAAGTATTGACTGGTGTAGCCATACATATATCATTCTTGGGGATAAACTGTGACAATGACAATCATACCACTGCTATGGAATATTCAAGATTGTAGCAAATTTAGTCAGTACTCGCTGATTCACAGTGTAAGGTTCCAATGCCACATTTTATTTAGAAATGGTTAAAAGGAGGAATATTGTAAGGTGTCAGGAGTGTGGTGTGGGGATGGGAAGGTGGGATTCATAAATCACATAAGCAGCATGGTCTAAACTAGTTAGTTAGGAGTTCAGGATGTTCTGCTGTTTTTTGCTTGGTTGCCTTAGTTAGGTACATTTGACTAAACATTAGTTTTAGGTAAATGTCTTATAATCTATCTATGCAAAGGGGGAAAGCAACAGGGACATTATCTGACGCACACCTTTCAGACTTGGACTGGTCCTCTATCAATACTCCATTGTTTTCCCCTTTCATACCTGGAAAGAATTGTATGAGAAAATTGTATAGACTTCACTGTTCCAATATTCCTCATCTTAAAGGGAAAATTTATACAGTTATCACTAAAGCAACAGGGGTTAAAAGAATCGGCTTCTTATTTTAATCTATTGAGCCAAGAGACCAGTTTCCAGTCACCAACATTACTTCTCTGAAGTACTTGTACGAAGAGAGCCTGGAATAATTTTCTGGCCAATTTTTCTTTATTCTCACCAGCAAAAATCAATTGTTTTCTCAATGCCACATTAAAGTAGGGTAGCTGAGATCAGGAACTCAGCAGATTGAGGAACATCAGAACTCAGGCTCATCACTATATACAGTGCCTTCATGTTCTAATGTAGTATGGTACATCTCATTCTCAAACCTTATATAATTGAAAAAAATCTCAAAGCTATAACTAAAATACAGTTCTCATGAGCTTTATTTTAACAACTAAATCAATTTAATAAGAAACCAAACAAGAACAAAATCACATATTTTGCATTAATTGAAAAAGTAGAAGGAAACTACCAATATGTGATTGCTAATTATTTATTATTTTTACAGTACATTGAAATATACTAAAGTTGTATGCTCCTAAAAATTACAAATTTGACAGTTCTCTCAAACTTAGATCTCCCATGTTTGCTAGCATTCATCAAGCAGATGTGACTTTGTTGGCTTGGGTACATTTGCATGATGGAAGAATTTTCTGTATGACAAGATAGCTGAAACCAGAAGACCAGTGGGTCACTCAAAGCTCTGCTTCAAGGATGTCTGCATGCCCTGAACATTGATTTTTCAAAGCTGGGAGACACAAGCCAATACTTAAGTTGAATGGTGGCATCACCATTGCCACCATTGTGTTCTATGGTTACAGTAACTGACCATCAGGCACTAAAACCAAAGAAAAACCCACAATGAACATCTGAGAGCCGCCTCATACGCAGCACCTGTGGCAGAACCTGCCTCCTCAACATCAGCGGAAGTGCACCATGTGAATTTATTCTATCCTCAGCAGATTGGCTGCATGTCCATCGTCTCACATAGGTGAAAGAATGCTGACAACAGGGATCCTTAATAAATCTACAAACAATTCCATCTTCTGATAATATGGTTCCAATAAATCTCCTCTACCCAACAGTTACTATGACACTTCAGTCAGACAATAGTAATAGACATGCTAACCAGCTATAGTGACTGTTACTAAATTTTGAAGGGAGAATAAAAATTCTGCATGTATACTGAGAGTTATTTCACAGTGGTGATTTTATTTTGATAACTCTTTCCACATTTCCAACACAAAACTGTGGTAAATATTTACCTCTCTGAGCAACATTGAATTATAAATAATACCCAGCCCATAGTTTCATTAAATGCTTTGCAAATTTAATACATTTATTATTGGTGTTGATAACATCCAATGTTAAACATTTAATATTTCACAAACTGCTCTTTAAGATTATTGTGTGATTTGGAATGCTTAGATTCTTTCTACAGATTCAAGTAAAATATAAACAGCTCAAAGGAAAATGGATATTGAGCACTGGAAGCTAGTTAAAATGATCAACTGTAACAGGGACAGATTTCTCTGCTCTCGACCATATCAGGTGCTATGAGAAGATGATACCATGGAGAGGTTGTACATGGCTTACAAACAGATTACATAGTATCTGCATAATCCAGTAGGACAAATGCTGTATTTGAAAGTGGTATCACAAATTACAGCAAACAGAAAACAATTTTAACATTTCAACAGGCATGACATTTTGAACAAATTCATCCAGTTTAAATAATGCTCAGGGTTATTCAGACCATTAGGAATTTAACAAATTAAATTGGCGACACTGTAAGAGCTGCCCCACTTAGCAACTGTTGCTAATGCATTTACAAAGTCACAGCATCAAATGATTGAATTATTTTCTTGTTTCCTAGACAACTGCAACATGAAATTGATGTCAGTAGTTATTTTAAGATTATAGATGATAACTTCCTCCATTCTGTTTGTAGTTGCAGTGGATCTATTTACAGCATCCTCAGCTTTGTACCAAAGACATCTTAATGGAACACTAACAATCTCACAAATGAAACTTTTTAAACTTGCATAAAGTACCACTTTATTATGATACTGAAACATTAATTAGTTTTTGCTACAATTAGACCATGATCATTAACAAAGTGTCAGCCATTTTTAAACTACTAGCTATTAAGTCAAAAATAATTTTTAAATGGAACGAACATTGATAGCTATGATAACAATGTCTTAACTCTTAAATAAGATAACAAATATCTCTGCATTTTGAAAAGTAAACCTTCTGGAGGCTAATAAGTTATGAATCATTTTCATTCTGCAGCCACGTTTGATTGTAATATGAATTACTGAGCATAAATCTTTGTGAGTGAATGTGTCCACTATATTAATAATGAAAATCACTCAAACAGATCAAAAGTTTGTACCTGATAAATGCTCTCCTCTGTTTCACGGATTGGTTCATGTCCAGCCTCAAATACAATGTACTGTTACATTGGCAGCACAAATGGAAAGCACAAAGGCAAATAGTAGGAAAGCACATAATGAATTAAGAAGTAGAAACAAAAATAAAACAAAAGCTAGAATAAGAGCAGCAATTTTATAATATTTCACATGTGTAGAGAGATGCACAGAGCTACATGTAAGCTTGAAGCACAGAAACAGTGGCTGTTTACCTTGGTAATAATCCAATAATCCGAGATTGCTGATATTAAGTACACTTTGTATACTGCATTAAATGTCAAAAAAGCAGGGCTCAGAGATTTGAAATTATTAATCATTCATATTTCAATCAAGACAAATGTTCACCAATGCTCAGGAATACCAGATCCTCTTAGAAGTTTAATCCAACACAACAATTTCTCACCAAATTTCAAAGTCAAAGTCAAACAGTTCAGATGTGAACACTTTAGGTAAATTACAAACATAAATATCTAAACTCTTGCATGTGAAGTATTCATTTTAATTATTTAGAGTAAGAATGAATCTTTTCAAAAAAAAAGCTCCTGTTCATTCATTCCGGATGTTGCTGGCCAGTCAGTTATTTTTCATCCATAATTATACTTGAAAAGATATTGATGAGCCATGTTCTTGAATTACTGCAGTCCTGGTGATACATATTAAATACTTTAGGCAGAAGGCCCAGGTTTTTTCCACAATGACAGTGATGGAACAGAAATATACTTCCAAGCCAGGGTGGCTTGTGACTTGGAGCAGAACTTGGAGATCTTGGTGTTCCCATGTGCTTTGTTCTTATAGGTGGGTTGTGGGTTTGGAACGCACTGTCAAAAAAGACTTGGCAAGTTGCTGCATTGCACTTTGTAGATGGGTGCACAGGCAGGCACAGTACATTGGTAATTTGGGGAGTGAAGCTTTAAGGTAATGGATCAGGTACCAATCAAGTAGTTCCTTTGTCCTGAATGTATTAATTTTCTTGGAGCTGCATTCATTCAGGAAAGTGGAGTATATTGCATTATCTTCCTTACTTGTCTGTTCTGCTCTTTGGGAGTTTTGTGGGGTTATGGGTGTTATACAACTGGTCCAGTTAATTTTATTGTTAATGATGATGATTAATGGTGATTCATTTGGCAATGTTAATGCCATTGACTGTCAACAGAAAATGGTTAGGCTCTTTTTTTAATTAAAATGATAATTAAATACTAACATACAAATTATGAGCAGAATTAGATCAATTGGCATTTCAAGCCTGCTCCACAATTAAATAAGGTGATAGCTGATCTATTTGTGTTCTAAATTCCACATTCCCACTTTTCTCTAATAATTTATCTTTCCTTTGCCTAACAAGAAACTATCTACATTGGCTTTAATTGTCTGACACATGTGGTGCCTTGAAGCTGTTCTCATCACATCTGAGACCCAACCCTTCTGTCTGTGTTTAGTCTGAAGCTGTATGAGGTCTAGAGCCCAGTATTCCCAATGGAAACCAAACTGAGCAACAAGTGCAGGTATTTCTGAACATTTCATCAATAGTTCAATCATTTTACTGATGATTAAGAGCAGATGTGATGGGTGGGTCTGGATTTAGCCTGTTTTGTTTGCGCATAGTACGGTGTATATTCAGACATTTTAAATTACCACAATCACCTCAGGGGCTGATCTATTTGGACATATTATGATGGATCCCCATGGACAGGAGAGATTTGAACGCGGATGTCCTAGCCCAGATGTAGAGACAATACCAGTGTGTCACAAGATACCTATATGTGCTTCTATCTGTACTAAAGAAAGTAACTGACTCAAGCTTCAAATAAAAGGTTTTAAGCCAGTCACTAATTATCTAGCTACAGATTCTCTCAGATCTTGTATACAGTTTATTAAAGGCTGCAATAAAACTTAACTTTGCTTAATTTAAAGATTAGTGTTTAGTTAATTGCTAAATTGAAGGAAAATTCTAAACTTTATTACTCCTTGAGGCTGTCTCACCCATGCACTGTTTGGCCTATAGTTGAACAGAATTGGAATAAATATCCAGCAGAGAGGTTTGCTAGTGCAGTTGGGAGAAATATAAGCTAGACTGGCAGTGGGATGGGAATCTGAGTGAAAATTCAGGCAGGAAATAGATGGCAGAATTTCAGTGAGTGACATAAAGGCAGAGGAAGCAGAAACTAACAAAATGTACAGCATAGGAATATGGCAGCATTAAAACATATATATTAAATGTGAGGACTGTATCAAAAAATTACTGATGAGCTGAGGGCACAGAGAGGTACATGGTAGCATGATACCATTGCTCTATTGGAAACTTTGCTTCAAGGGGCAAAAATGGTATCTCAACATCCTTGGATATTGTGTCTTCAAGCAGGACAAAGAAGGGGATTAAGAAAAAATGTGGGGATGTAGCATTATTGGTTAAACAATGAATTACATCAGTGAAGTGGGATGCTTTACTGAATGAAGCACCAAATGAGACAATATAGTTTGAGCTCAGAAAGAAAAATGGGCAGCTACACAGCTAGACATGTACTGTAGAGCCTCAATAGTTGGAGGGAGATAGAAAAGCAAAATTTATGAGTGCAAAAATACTTGGGCTTAATACCTGGGACTGTAACTACCCAAACATTAACTGGGATGCAAACAGTTTGAAAGACCCAGAAGGCTCAAAATTCTTGAACTGCTTTTTTTTTTTAGCCTTTTAGCTAGTATATAACAAGTTCAATGACAGAGAATGCAATTCTAGATTCAGTCTTAGGAAATCTCTGATTTACAGCATCCACAGTTGTTTTGGTTTTTATTTTGTAAAAGTCAACAGATAATTTTGTGAATGGAAAGTGGTTTCTAGTGACGTTCCACTGGGCTTAGTGTTGGTTCCCTTTCAGCTTGTGGTATATATTAATGATTTAGGCTTAAATACAGAAGGCATGATTGGAAAATTTGCAGGCAACAGAAAAATTGGCCACGTAGTTAGCAGTGAAGCAGACGACTCTTGACTGCATTACGATATGAATGGTTTGGTTGAATGAATGAAAAAGTGGCAAATTAAAATCATCCAATGAAGTGACATGTTATGTACTTGGGGAGGACAAGCATAGAAAGGGTTACACAGTAAATGGAAGCATATTTAGATGTGTAGAAACATGAATTCAAGTCCACCAGTCCCTGAAGGCAGCAGAACAGGAAGATAAAGCTGCTTTCTTTCAGTGGGTGTGATATCAAATACAAAAGTGGAGATGCAATACTGGAACTATTTAAAACATTGGTTAGGCCACATTAACTGGAGTTTTGCATACAGTTCTAGTCACCACATTACAAAAAGGGCATAATTTCTCTAGGGAGAATACAGAAGAGATTTACAGGAATGTTGCCAGGGCCTGAAAATTGTAGCTATCAAGAAAGATTGGGTAGGCTAGAATTGTTTTGCTTAGAATGGAGGAGGCTGTGATGTGATATAATTAAAGTGTACAAAATAATGAGGAGCTTAGACAGAGCAGGCAGCATAACATCTGCTTCCCCTAAAGGAAAGGTCAATTACCAGGGGTATTAGTCTATGGTGATTAATAGATGATTAGACGTGACATGATTAAACAAAAATCATCCAGATGATGGTTGGTGTTTGGAGTTTGCTGCTTAGTTTAGGGGTTGATATGGAAACCTTCAACTCATTTAAATGGAATCTGCACGGCTACATATCAGATGCTGGAAAGTAGGATTGGAATTGTTGACTATGGCTGTTATGATACAATGGCCGTTTCCCTATCTTTGGGTCAGAAGGTCTGATTTCAAATCCCACCTGCTCCAGAGGTGTGTAATGAAACTGAACAGGTTGATAATATAACTAGAATGGATTGTAGTTTATTCAGTTGGCACAGGCATAATTCTATGCCAGTATTGTTACTGTATTGTAACAACCTAGCTGGAGGTGTGGCCGATTCAGGAGCACAAGTCTTCAGCACTATCATGGGAACGTGGTCTGTTCTCAGAACTTTTGCTGCACCACTCAGTTGTGCCTTGATATCATGGTAAGTGTCTAAAAGGCAGCTGTTTTGGTGGTGACATCAGGAGGTGGTCATGGCTGAAAATAGTTGCAAATGATTCAAATGATTGTCTTTTTCAATGATATGGTGTCTCCAATGTCTTCGACGTTGGGAATTTTTTGACTTCCTCTTTCTTATTAATTTTCAACTATTCACCACTTTTCATGACTAGAAGTGGCAGGACTGCAGTTTAGAGTTGACATATCGATTATGGGGTCACTAAGCCTTATATACAAATTATTAACACAGTTAATCACAAACTGAACACTTGGATCCAAATTGATCTTTATGACTTTTGCATCTTTTTTCGACAACAATTGTATCACTTCCTGAAAGATTCAACTCTTGATGGAGTGCAACTTCATTGACAACAGTAGTGCAGTGTTAGCTATTAAAATGTTCCTTATTAATTGTGTGAGCTTGAATAATGGTGTTGAATTGATATTTTACAAAAGGAATCATCAATCCAGTCCTTACTGTCATCTGCAAGTCTGCATTTCCAGCCAAGTTGTGGAGAAGTGATAAGAGACTTCTGCCAAATCCTGAGGTTCTAAAGATAATTTTAGTGATTCTATTGCCACTGATTGAGGTCAGAGACTGGGGGGGTCTAACTTGGGCCAATCTTGTACAGCTGAGCTATACACTGAAAAACCTGTTGGGACAATTGGGGCAACTTTGGTGTTCTGTTACAAATAATATTTGGAAGGGACGCTTTTTTTTGCACTAGAGATATTTTCTGCTTGTCAATTAACAAGCCATTACACTCAGAGGTAACATCATTATATTCTAAACAAAATATCATGGATTCAGTTACAGTATGGCTGCAATGCTAATTGATTTCTCCTTAGGACTTCAACAATCAAAGGACTTACCTAATTACCCTAAATTTAGATTTGTTGCCTTCCGAGTTTAGTCATCAAACTTAATATTCAAATAATAGTCATTGATATATCTGTGACAGAGATTTAATTGAGCATCAGAAGGTGATATGTGGTTCCATGGTAATGTATACATCTTTGATAATTTTTGATATTAAATGACTAAAGCAGCAGTGTCACATTCAGCCGAGTATGCTGTGTTTCTTGATACCATTGTTCCAATTGAATATAAGGGCTGTTACACATATGGTTCTGTGAGTTGATCTACAAAGCTTTTAAACTGATTCTGCCTCTACCATACAGGTAGAGTCAAGGGATGGAAAAATAATTGAGTAGAAGAGATAGCTGGATAGAAGGAAGTGACGCGAAATACAGCTAGATTGGAGGAAAATGAGTGAACAAAAGAGGTGTAAATGAAAATGAATTTACAGCATGATACATGGAGAATACATTTGATAGAAGACAAATGACAGATTTGTGAAAATAAATGAAAACATTAGACGTTAATAGCTAGAAATTCCTCAACTCGCTGCACTTATTTTGTGGGCAAAGCTATAGTGTGTATTTTTTTTAAAAAATTCTTTCATGGAATATTGGTGTCACTGGCAATTATTCATCCCTGATTGCCTTCATACTGATTGGTCGTTTCAGAGGGCAGTTAACAGTCACCCACGTTGTTCTGGATTTGGACTTCCATGTAGGCCAGACCAAGTAAGACATCACCTGGCTTCCCATTATTTGGCCAATTAAAAGTCAGTGGGAATACTTGCTGTTCAGTTAAGCTCAATATATGTACTGTTAGAATTATTAAGGCCAATAGGAGGTTCCCTGCATGGCAGGAGATTCAGTCTGCCTTTGTAGGTAAGGCAAGATAGACGTGGTCTCCATTTGTGACACGCTTTTAGCATTTTTAAAAGATTTGACCACAGCTGCCTTGCCAGCATTGCAAAGGGGAAACTAATCTTCTTTTGTGACCAGATGGATGGGGAAGCTGGCCATTTGGTGACCTGTAGATCTTTTGTGCTACTGCTAATGGTATGATACGAGGCCTGCAGACCAATCAGAATTATCAAGTTAGACTTCGATCAATGACTTTGATTGTGCTGATAATTATCACAATTAACCAACTGTGGCTTGATCCTCAACCTGGACTTTCCAAAAAAAGCTCAAGGAAAAGATAGTGCTAGTATACTGGTACAATTGACAGGCAGCATGAAACCACACTTTCAACCATTTCTGTTTTGGCCCCATATTGACCCTGATGGATGATTCTGCCGGGAATTAATTATAAAACCAAGACTGAGCTTAATCATTTCAGTGGTTGATTTTAATTTTTGGTTCGAGATGTGACCTAGTGAATACTGGCCTGTCCATGAATGGCATCAGAGAAGTCCAGCCAAGTTTAATAGATCAGCCACTTCTCACATTTCAATGAGCGACTTTTTTTGCATAAAACAGCCTGGAACAAATTAGGAAGTGGCTGCTGTGGAGCTGTGTTTTTGTTTATAAATAAAAGCATTAATCTGAACACTGCCACCATGGAAGAACCAAAGATGCTGTCCTGAGGGAGTTCTGCATTGTCAGAGGTGTCGTCTTTCAGATAAGATGCTAAGACAAGAGTCTCCATAATGTTCAATGCACGTAAATGATCTCATGGCTGTATTCCGAAAAAGAGAAGGGAAACTATTCTATGTGTCTTGACCTATATTTACCTCTCAGTTAGCACTACATAAACAGAATATCTGGTCATTATCAAACTGTGTGATCTTGCTATGAGTGATATGGCTTTATGTTTCATACATTAGGAACATATGACTTAGAAGCGGGAGTAGGCCAATCAGCCCTTCAAGTCTGCTCCACTATTCAATAAGACAATGGCTGATTTGATTTTTGTTTTAACTCCATTTTCCTGTATGTCCCACATAATTGTTGGCTTCCTTGTGTGGGACTCAAAATTAAATCATCCAATTCACAGAATATCCTGGAGAAATAAAGAGGTTAAAAACATAATTATTTTATTTTAGCGCTATCAATGACCCCAGTCGTCACCATCATGGAGAGCTGCTCTGATATGGCAAAAATGCCAGAAGAAGTGGGAATCTCATGTCCTGACCCCAAAACCAGCATTTCTAATTTTTCTGCAGATGTGATTTGGAACAGGCACAGTTTCTCCTTGTCAAATTCCTGGAGGCAGCTGGCCATCTGAAGGACAAGGAACCTCCACTGACATTTCTTGAGATGGCAGGCTCAATGACAGCTCCATGTCTAGCAAGTGGCCGAGGCATGGTAACTCCAGCTTTCAGTCTCATCAATAGGAATCTTATTTTATAACAAAATTCTGGCCACCAGTCAGTAACGTTATCAATCTCTTAATATCCCTTTTGCTAGACACTATCTAACCCAAATTCTATGACTTTTGCACATCACTTAAGGATCATACCAATGCAGTACCCAAAAGAATTTAAACAGTAGTCAAAGTACCAGAGAACATAAATAATCTGAAACACATTTACTGTTATTTGCTTCTCATATGATCATTGGGTAATTTTCTCTGACAATCATCAGCACATCATGATTCTCTCATCAGATGTGGTCCAGATGGGTGACAGTGAATTATATCAGAATGTCCCCTCCATTTAAGATGAAAAGTCTCACAGCCAGAACTGAAAGCTCAAACTAGCTGGCAAATATAAGAATGAGTTTGAAGGAGAATCAAAGATAATCCTCCAGAGGTGAGTCAATTGTTTGGATTGAATTGCTGCACTTGCCCAGTATATTTTACAAATGAAAACCACATTTCAAGGTCTGACACACATTTGTCTTCTGGAGGATTACATTTCTTTTGTTGTTACTTGACTCAGGCTTTTGAAGGATTACAGAAAAACAGCCAGTGTTAAAAAACTGACTGCTGAAAGATTGGTCATTAATGCAGTTGGAATCCATTCTGAGGAGGCTCATAAAGAGAACAAATTCAAAGCAGGTAGATGATACAAGTAAAAACATGACTGCATACTCTAGGAACATTTTAGGACTCATTTTGCTTGCAAAATAGCTTGCCAATGGCTGCACTGCCTGTAAAATTTCATCAATCGAAATCAACAAATGGATAATCATAGGCTGTGTAACTATGGCTTCTCAGTATGTGCAGTCAGTGGGCCAGTCCCCATGTTGTCAGTTTAGCTTAACTTCTTTGAAAGAATGTTACAGTTAATCTAGGCAGAACTCAACACAATTAACTTGGGTGAAGAAAGTACCCATCATGATCATGTTGCCTACTTAATGGACTAGGAGGCCTTTACTTTCATCTTCATTAATAACACCTATAATGTCCTCAAGAGGTCCCAATAGTCTTTACAGTCATTGAATCATTATTGTGTTGGTAAATGTAACAGCTAATTAGCACAAAGCAAGGTTCTAAAAAAAATCAATGAGACCAAAAACCAGGAAAACTTTTTTTTGGGAAAGAGAAATCCTCTGATGATCTTCAAGTTCTGCCATGCGCCTCAGAGCACTCAATTAAGCATTTCATCTAAACAACAGTTGCTCTTCTGTACAGCACTCAATAGAACATTATGGTGGGATTTGATCCCCTACTTTCTGACTTAAAGTCAAGCATTGTCTAGCACTGAGCCAAAACAGACACCAGGATAGAATTGAAAACTATCTGCCATGTCCCCATTGACAAAGCTATTGTTTTGGATTCAATTAATCCAACCACCAAGTTCCAGTCGTACTTTGATTAGTCTGTCCTTAAGCAGATATATTTGATTTTATTCATGCAGTAGATGTGGACTTTGCCAGCTGAGCATTTATTGCTCATCCCTAATTGCCCCTAAAAATGTAGTGGTAAGCTGCCTTCTTGAACTGCTGAAGTCCATTTGGTGCAGGTAGACCCAAAATGCTATTATTATCTTTATAATGGTGAGAAATGACTATTTGGTTTAGGAGGTTTCAATCAACAGCTTACTGTAAATACTTTCTGAAGAAGGGTCCAGACCCGAAATGTCAGCTTTCCTGCTCCTCTGATGCTGCTTGGCCTGCTGTGTTCATCCAGCTCTACACCTTGTCATCTCAGATTCTCCAGCATCGGCAGTTCCCACTATCTCTGTAAATACTTTAGTTCTATGGAGCCATTCACTAAAGATGGAAAAATTGAAGTGTTTCCACATACACTATTCCTAGTCACTATCGAGTCACTTCTGTTGAAAAATATATTAATATGGACATTAGATAAGCTGAGCTCTGTTTGATTACTAATACTCACTAATGTTGAATGACTATTTGGGTAAGGAATGCAGATAGGTTGTTAGAAACCGTACAGCATGATTTACTCCATCTAAGAAATGGGATCATGAATTGAGAAGAAATACAAAAAAAAACAGAAAATGAGGGAAATGGAGATATATAGATTTCAATATGAACCTGGTGAGACCTTAACAAGCTATGTTGTAAATTTGATTTTGCTAAAAAATGGGAAAAAATGTTGTACTTGTTTCATTTACACAATCAAAATTTCATTGCATCCATTTCTTACACAAGATTAAGATAATAAATGGGTGCCAGTCCATTTAAATACTTGAAAGATTGTGAAACCTCGGCTGTTGCTGTATATGCCTATTGAAAATCAAATTGTGTTGTCCAATCTTTCCAATAGATTTAATATATTAAATCAAATACAATTGGATTCAAGAAGCAAATTTTATAAAACTATCCCTTTATCTTCAAGATAATAAGTAAACCTCTCAACTACCTTTATTTTTCAATATTGTGATAAGATTCCCAAAATTACCTGATAGACAGGATCTTCCACATCTTCCTCCAAAATTGTCTGAATTAGAATGAGTCAGAAATGCAAAGGGAAAGAAAATCAGCAGAAGTATCAGACAAAGCATATTTGGGGCAAGATGCATACGAGAAGATTGCAAAGTAGAGAGTAGCAATAATTTAAATACGCTATTCAAATAAAAGCTGTTCTTGTTTCTGAATTATAAGCTGGAACAATTAAAAACTATCATTGATTTGCATGATTTCTTCAGTTAATCTTGTTTCTTGTTGTATGCTCAGCAAGAATGAGTATTTTGTACATTAGATCATTCCACTCCCTCAGCCCATGTAATAAGATTGACAGCAGGTCAATGTAAAGCACAGTTTCAATTAACCAAAGCCTTTTCCTCAATAGTAAAATATGAAGAAAATTCCCACTTGTACCAATGCACCAATAATACTCTACCTTGTACCTTCTGCAAACAAGAATATACAGTCTGTTTAAGATCAACCTATTATTGATATAAGAATGGTCATACATTGCAGGACATCCATCTGTTGGAAACTGGGTTCAGGTGATTAGAATATGTAATAGGGTTCAGAAATGAAAGACATCTTGTCAAACTGAGCCCAACCATAGGCTTCAAAGAGAATTTGGCAAAATTTTATACTTGGTGACCTATGCACAGTTACGTGGAAAGATAACACTTAAGTTGTTGACATGTTCACCAAGCTGGTGGGTTTGGTTGCAGACGGTTCGTCACCCTGTTCAGTAACATCATCAGTGCATCTTCGGTGAAGTGTTGGCGTTCTGTTCCACTTGTTATTTATATGCTTCGATTTGCTGGGGTGTTTGGTATTGCTTCAGGTTTTGTTTCTCAGTGGTTTGTACACAGGGTCTAATTCAACGTGTTTGTTGTTGGAGTTCCGGTTGGAATACCAGACCTCCAGGAATTCCCTGGCAAGTTTCTGTTTGGCTTATGTGACTATGGATGTGTTGTCCCAGTTGAATTCGTGTCCCTCGTTGTCCGTGCTTAGTGAGACAAGTGAGAATTGGTTGTGTCTCTTGGTGGCTGGTTGGTGTTCATGTATCCATATTGTCAATTTTTGTCCAGTTTGGCCTATGTAGTGTTTCTCACAGTCCTTGCAAGGTGTTTTGCATATTACCCCAGTTTTGCTGGTTGTGGTTATGGGATCCTTTATGTTCGTCAGTAGCTGTCGTAGGGTGGTTGTTGGTTTGTGGGCTACTCGATACCTAGCGGTCTGAGTAGTCTTGTGGTCATCTCTGATATGTCCTTGATGTATGGTAGGATGATTAGTGATTCATGGATTAAAAACATCTCGGATCAACCACTTACAAACCTTGAGAAGTCTATCTTAGTATGCAGACTGAATTATAACTACAGGGGCGCCAAAAAGACTGACTTTGTTGCTGCGCTGGAATCAACACTACAGAACAATAGACACACAGAAGAAGTACCAGACTGACAGATGACTGAGCAAAAAAGGAAAGTGGAACACATTCAACGCAGAATAGAGGAAAGCCCTGGAAAGACTTAAGAAAGACAGGAACACTGTAATCTTACCAATGGACAAAGGACGTATGACAGTAATTCTCAATAGAACCCCATACACTGAGAAAGCTAATGCACTAGCAGATACTGACACCTACCAACAGATGGTGATAGACCCGACACCACAGTAAGGAAACCAGATTACAACGATCCTGAAGAAATGACACAACTCAGGAGACATCAGCAAGACAGATTACCAAAAAATGAAGCCAGAGAGATCCAACACACCCCGTTTCTACGGACTCCCTAAGGTACACAAACTGGGGGACCCCTCAGACCCGTTGTCTCACTGCCAGGCAAACCAACATATAGACTTGCCAAAGAACTACAACAGAAATTGAAATACTTAGTGGACAACACTACCCACTCCATTCACTCATCCTAAGAATTCCTCAACACTAGGATAGAAGAGGGCGAGATAATGATATCCTTCGATGTAACAGCACTATTTACATCCATAAACCTTGACCTAGCCAAAGAAACAATTGCCACACTGCTGGATGAATCAAGTAGGCAGGCAACCCAGGACACCAACATCAATAAGGACACCACCATAAAACTACTAGATCTGTGCTTCACAACACACTTCACCTTCAATGACAGCATATGCAAACAAATCAACGGAACACCAATGGGATCCCCAATATCAGGACTGATTGCACAAGCAGTAATGCAAAGGTTAGAATGGACAGTGCCCCCCACTATACAACCCAGACTCTGGGTCTGATATGTGGATGGCACCTTCATGGTTATTAAGTGCACAAAACTAGAAGAAACCCACCAACACATGAACAACATCCTTACCGGGATAAAATTAACAAAAGAAAAAGAGAACAACAACCGACTACTCTTCCTGGACATAACGGTAGAATGCAAAAACAGTGGGGAATTCCAGACTAGTGTATATAGAAAGACCTCACATACAGACCAGATATTCAATTACACCAGCAACCACCCCAACGCCCACAAACAGAGCTGCATCAGGATACTATTTGAACGAGCCACAACACATTGCAGCAACCCGGAACTACGCAAAGCAGAACAGGAGCACCCATTTGGAGTCTTCAAAAGGAATGGATACCCGAAAAGCAAAATCCGCCATTACCTCCGAGACCAACCACAATAGGAAGACACGACACGACCAGACTCATCAATCACCCTATCATACATCAAGGACATTTCAGAGATGACCACAAGACTATTCCACAGACTGCTAGGTATCGAGTAGCCCTTAAACCGACAACCACCCTATGACAGCTACTGACGAACGTAAAGGATCCTATTCCCAAAACCAGCAAAACTGGGGTAACATGCAAAATACCTTGCAAGGACTGTGAGAAACACTACATAGGCCAAACCAGAAGAAAACTGACATTACGAATATATGAAACCAACTAACCACTAAGAGACACAACCAATTCTCACTTGTCTCACTATGCACGGACAAGGGACACAAATTCAACTGAGACAACACATCGATAATCGCACAAGCCAAACAGAGACACGCCAGGGAATTCCTGGAAGCCTGGTATTCCAAACGGAACTCCATCAACAAACACATTGAATTATACCCTGTGTACAAACCACTGGGAAACAGAACCGGAAGTAATACCAACCACACCAACAAACCGAGACATATAAATACCAAATGGGACAGAACACCGATGCTTCACTGGAGGCGCACTGACGATGTTACCTAGCAGGGTGACAAAACATTTGCAACGAAACCCACCAGCTCGATGTGCATGTCTACAAACTCATCCCATAACCCGAGCAACAAATCTTCTCGAAAACTTTAAAGGTAACCCTTAGATAGGCACTGCTCTTAAATCAAACCATTAAAGAAGTTGAAGCAGCAGCAGAATAGCTGAGGAATGATCAAGAATAGTACAAAAAGGTAATGAGAGAAGAATTGGTTCAGTTACTGAAGAATTGGAGGTTGTTCTATAAGAGGTAAACTGAAATAAGGCAGCCATATTTGAAGCGGATGGCCACCCTCTATTAAACTGCCTTAAGGGAGATTAATGATTAAGACAATTAAAATGCTTGGTTTTCTCAATCCTGACTACGGACAAATATGTAATTTACTGATATTTGGCCATCAAGCAGAGTAAAAAACAAATTCAATTAGGATCTCCTCCACCCTCTTGGAGGTATCACTTAAAGTGTTGTACACAATTTGCATATTTTCTCACAAATATTCTCTCATTGTGTTGCTTGGATCTTTTGTATTGGTGGTTGAAGTAAACATTGTGAAATTGGAACTGGAACTTCTGAGATGCCGTTGGTTGCATAGTAGGGAGGTTTCTACATGGCATCAGGAGCTATTTTTCTCTCAATAGCAGTGGCCTAGATTCCTTTGTTGGTTATTAAACTTTTCTGGTTTGTTGGGCTCAGGAATCATATTTGAAAAAAAAATTGAAGAGATAAAAAAGTGATAACTTCCGTACTTAGAAAACTGATCCATAAGATTTTGTTACTTGACACAATTTGACAAACCTGCCCAGTGGTGTTTGTACATCTGAGACATGATTAATGTTATTTGTGTTGCAGCAGCACTACTGAACTCGATTTTCATGTCTCATAAAAATCACTCCATGCAGAAATAAATTGCAAAACAAAAATTCATGGAGTACTTCACACATCTGTAAAGTGTCCTGGAAATCAACGTGAACTTCCAGTATATACATGAGGAAGTGAAATTACCAAAACCTCCTTGCAAGGGTAACAATACCACTTTTCTACTCTTACTGATGAAGAGCACAAACTGCTAAATGATTGAAACAAACCTATAATTAAAATATTAAATTGATGGCATAAATAAAAGTAAATGTATGTTTCATATAGATAATTACCAGAGAGTTATTTTTCTCCTAAAGATGTACAATTAATAAAAGTAACTATTTTATAAACAAAGATTTTTAATTTGTTTTCTGTTATGCATAAACTGCATTGCAGGAAATGGTTAGTAAATAGAATGCTATCAGTTCAGCTCTTCATCATCATACTATGGAAGGATGTGGATATTTTTACCTGATAGACTGCTTGCTCACACTGCTTGTCCTTTTGTGCCATTTTCTCCTTCTCCTCTCGAAGTTTCAGTTCATAGATGAGTTGAAAAAGATCTCGCAGGTCAAGAATTACAGGTTCAGCCTAACATCAAAATAAGAGCAAAGATTGCATGGTGTGTACAGTACAGGTTTACTGAGCACCAGAGGTTGTTGCATGAACACATCCAAGTCTGCATCACTTATAAAATGGTTAAATAAAGTCAACAACCCTATCTTATTAACTGTTAAATGCAATGTTTCCATTTATTTCAGACTGTGTTCATTCTATACCTATATTAATATGATGCTGAGAAAAGTATTTAAAAAAGAAAATTCACACTCACTGCTTGGGATGTCTTTATCGCCACAAAGCGGTGATTCCCTTCTTTGCCACAAATATAACCAAAGGCGCGGTGATCAGTGATGTCCTTGGCAATGTATGATACTTCGTGAACTGCATGGTGATGCTGCATAGCCTGTGAGAATGAGCATAGTAACTTTTATACAAAGAAATGGATTGTGCTGGGTGAATGGATTCTGGAGTGTTGGGACAGAATTGTACCATGAAATGCCATCCTGATGTATATACAACAGGAAGGTCACATGTTGGATCCACCGATGTTGAGTTAGCTGATCTCTACTTGCCCATTAGGAGACTGCTAACTGTTTAGCATTTGTGGGCTACAGGAGATAAAAATCCCACTCTTGGCTGTTGGTGACTGAACCCAACCAGTGAGTATGCAGTTTGATTTTGAAGGGTAGATGTAGGAAAGTCTTGCTACAACTGTATAGGCAATGAAAGAAACTGTACCTTAGGATGGAAATTTATAATATATAGCTGTAAAAGGATACATATTGCTGAAGCTTTTTGCTTTGCAATCGTCAGGATAATTTGCAAGAATAGCATACAAGGGGAATATTAACATAGGTACTGCATGAAAGATGAGTGCTGATATATTGATAGGTGAAGGTAGAGGTATTTCCATGGAGAAAATGCCAAATAATGATGATTGACAGTAAATTGCCAGTCTCTGCTTACATTTCAAACTAAAGCAACTTGACACTGATTGTTCAAGACATTTCCTTGCGAAATGAGCCAGCAAATTGCTGTTACCTATTTGTTGAGTTGTAACAGACACAATGCATTTTCATGTTTCTTCTGTCTTAAATATATGTAGCCTCCAGTACATGCAAGCATGGCACACTGCAAGCCCTGACAGACAGTCCTTAATTGATTGTGCAAAGAATTACACTCACTATCAGGACTATCCAATAAATGTTGTTCAACTACACAATCACTTCTAATGTTGTACACTATGTTGTGAGTTTTGCAAGCATGGACTGCTTGGATATGGACAATACCTTGCTTGTTGTGAACAGCTGAAAGGATACGCTGTTTGTCCAGTCTTTGGGACATACGGCCTATATGTGTGGCATCTCACAAGCACAGGGAATGGAAAATGAAATAGTTTTAGGAAACAGACAGAAGGATACCCAAAATAATAAAGGAAAAAAGGCAAGAATCCAGAAGTGATATACTTAAAATAATATGTTTCCATTGTAATAAGGCTAGGCATCCAGAAGCCGTTTGCTGGAACTTAAATGGGAGACTAATTGCATTGGTAGAAAACCTAAGGAATTTTCAGAAACTGGTTTGCCAGGTAAGGAAATGGAGTAGAACTGTAGCAGTGTTACAAATGGAGTGTTTACCCTTAGAATCTCAAAGGAAAGAAGAGATAGCTTGGGGCTGCGAAGAAAGCTCTTCCTCAATTATTGACATTCAAGGTTCTGAATATATTATTTTCAAAGCAAGAGATATTTTCTTAATCTTCTATTCAAGGAGGTAAACCAAACAGATACTGAAAAACAGTGGAGCAATGCAGTTGCTGATGGTGGCTGATAATATTATTGTCTTTCAGAGGGCTTAAAGAAGGAGAAGACATTAATTTGAGGTAAGAATTTATACCTGAATGTTATTATTTAAAGGACAAAGTGTTAATGAGGAAATGGAGATCACTTCTAATACAACCCAATGAGGAATGAGGGGTAAAGCATCTGTGGTAGTTCCATCAAATATCAGAACAAAATTTTATGATTTGCTCACAAAATTCAAATAGCAGGTCATTGATTTTTGGAAAACATCAGCAATTGAAAAATGCTCAAATGATGAAAACTGGAGCAAATAAAAAGCTCAAAATTAAAATTTTGTCTCTGGAAGCAAGCTCTTCATACTATTACCTATCTCTTGGGAACCATTAAAAGCTAATTTCACTGGACCATACTGAATCCATAAGAAACTTAGCGAGTACTGTAGACAGGATGAAATATCAGAAGTGTGTCATGTTAACATGTTACAGCCATGACAGGTAGGATAGACAGGAACAAAATGTATTTACAGTCATGAAAGAAGTGGGGAGTGAAATAAACATATCAGAATGATTTAAAAATGAATCAGAAATTGAAAATTCAAAACATGACCCACCAATAATCAAACTGAATAATAACAATAATAACAATTGGACAATGCTTAAAAAGTTGGATGGAATATTAAGCTATCTCCCTGGAAACTATCAAAGTGACTTATGAAAGTTATTTTAGAGTAAAAATTGATTTCAGTAAAAAGACTGTGAGAAATGTCGTTAGCTACACATCATGTTAATCATTGTTAAGATGATTGCAAACACATCAGCGTTGTCTCTAGCACACAGAAAATGAACTCTGCCATCATTCAAAATGGGGATGTTCATGGAGCATTCTGCTCACATTAGCTGTCTGTATTCAGAGAGTCATAGCGCAGAAACAGACCCTTCAGTCCAACTCGTCCATGCCGACCAGATATCCCAAATTAATCTAGTCCCATTTGCCAGCATTTGGCCCATATCCCTCTAAACCCTTTCTATTCATAAACCCATCCAGATGCCTTTTAAATGTTGTAATCATACCAGCCTCCACCACTTCTTCTGGCAGCTCATTCCATACACACACCACCCTCTGCATGAACAAGTTGCCCCTTAGGTCCCTTTTAAATCTTTCCCCTCTCATGTTAAACCTATGTCCTCTAGTTTTGGCCTCCCACACCCAGGGAAAAGATCTTGTACTTACCCTATCTATGCCCCCCATGATTTCATAAACCTCTATAAGGTCACCCCTCTGCCTCCGACACTCCAGGGAAAATAGCCCCAGCCTAATCAGCCTCTCCCTATAGCTCAAACCCTTCAACCCTGGCAATCTCCTTGTAAATCTTTCTAATTTCACAACATCCTTCCTATAGGATGGAGACCAGAAGTGCAAGCAATATTCTAAAAGTGGCCAAACCAATGTCCTGTGCAGCCGCAACATGATCTCCCAACTCCTATACTCAATGCACTGACCAATAAAAGTGCGCATACCAAACACCTTCTTCACTATCCTATTCAAAATCGTTCATGACTACATGTTAGACCTCAGAGCGTTGACCTAATCCGTTGGTTGTGGGTTCTCTTAGCTCTGACTAGCACACACTAATTTAACTTTCCAGCATGCCATTCATCTTATGTTTTATCTTCACCAGATTGATACTTCATTTATAGTTTTGCCAGCTGCTGTTCCTCCTGGCATACTTTTCAACATTGCTCCTTGAACACAAGGTCGGTCCTGTGATGTAGGGGGAATGAGGGAAATGCTTGGCCAGGAGATTACAGTTTATGGTTGGATAAATTTCTGCAGATGCTGACGGTCCTTCGCACTGAAGGTTTTCATCTACTAGACATGTTCTATATCTATCACATTTAGTACGTGGTGGAGTCACACAACATAATGGAAGGTGTCTTTACAATGAAGGTAGGACTTCATCTCCACAAGGATTGTGAGGTTGTCACTCCTACCAGTATTGTTAGGAAAATATGCATTTGTGGCAGGCAGATTAGTGAGGATGAGGAGTCAGGATTTCCCTTTTGTTGCTCTCACTACATTCCACAAGTCCATCCTGTTAGGATGTGGCTAGCTTCTTCCAAGTGGTGATCAAGCCTTGACCATATTTTGACTTGATTCTGCAAGCCTTCATGGGGTCTGGAGTCATTACTGAAGTTTTCCATGCTCACTTCCTCCCAATTGAATGATATGATTCTAACTGCTCTGGGTTAGTCTATTCTGCTGATGGGACAAGACATAGCCAGGAATGGTGATGGAGCAGTCTAGGACATTGTCTGTAAGGTACAGTTCAGTGAATATGACCACATTAGATCATTGCTTGAATAAACTTGGTGAGGCAGATTTCCAAATTGTCCACAAGTCCTCAGATGTTATTGAGGGATCTTTTCCATGTTGACTGGGCTGGAATTGCCTTTGTTGTATCCTGTGCCTAGGTCAATGCGAGGTAGTTTATTCTGCATACTATGTGACTTTTCCTTAGCAGTTTGGTGCAACAATATGGCATTTCAGACTGCAGGCTAGAGACTAATACATTGATGCCAAATATATTGGTCTGGAGTCATATGCAGATCAAAATCAGGTAGGTTTTTGCTCCGGTTCTGAGGAAGGGTCACCGGACCTGAAACGTTAACTCTGTTTTCTCCCTCACAGATGCTGCCGGACCTGCTGAGCTTTTCCAGCAACTTTGTTTTTGTTCCAGGTTTTTGCACCAACCTGGCAATTTCATTATCACCATTCCTGACTGTAGTTTTAAAGTCCAGATCTCCAATGTTCTCAAAGTACAAAGATTGATTTAATGGCTTGATGGTGATTGTAGAGAGATTGTATGTTGGCTCCAGAAGGTGACACTTTGTGGATAATAAACTTTTGTTGATGCTGATGACCCACAGTGCCACGTGGATGCCTAGTTTTGAGCTGCTAGATGTACTCTGAATTATCCCACTTAGCAAAGTATGGTGCACACAACACAATGAAAGGTGACCTTGGCATGAAGATGGGACTTGCATTCCATAAATAATGTGATCAGCTGTGATGAATCTATGATTAATATGAAACATGGACACAGGCTGTTTGGCCTCAACTTGAACATAAACAGTATACTAATCTCCTGTTCCTGTTGTTCCATTAAACTTTCTAGGAATCTTGCCTTTCAATCACGTTATTTAACAGATTATTACTTTTTGAAGAATGATCACTTAGCTGATGCACGAGGAGATTACCAGTACCTGAAAACACTTACCCAAACTCAAGCTTGCACCCAAAACAAGAATTAATCAGGGGGCAAAAATAGATTCCTTCAATTCAAATATTATTCTGGATTATTATTTTCGAGCTTTCAAAAAAAACCCTTAAAAATGCATTTAACATTGTTAAACTATATTAGTTTTTAACTGGTAACGATGTATATTCTTATTAAGTGCAAGTTACAACATTCCTCATACCTTTCTGTAATATTTACTTTCCAATATTTTATATATCTTTTTCATCTCAGGGTTAAATCGAGAAATTGGGTCACATTATCTCTGGCGTGTTCAGCATTTCATAGGGGAATATCTCAGCCATAATAACCAGTCTATTTCTGGAAAGTGAACAGACTCCTTGTGGCAGAGAGG